TGGGTCCTTTTTCAAGGAGAAAGGTGGGGTAAAAATGAGTGGATGAATGAATGAATGAATAAAAAACCAGGATAAAGAGAAGGGTGTGAAATGGAGTAAGGTCTGGTGTTCCAACTCTGTTACTTCTAGACAAGCCACTACTGGTTTAAGGCATAGCAACAATACATTGTTAACTAGAAGTACGCAAGCTTATGTGCCATCGGAGTTTAGAACATTGCTTTTGGAGGCTGCGGATTCCTAGAAATATACCCAAAATGTACCTTTTCCAAGCTTTGTAAGCCCCTTCCCCCCCATCTGGATTGTTTGGTCTAGAACCGTGGTTCCCAACCTTGGGCCCCCAGATGTTCTTGGACTAAAACTCCCAGTTGCCTTCACCACTAACTGTGCTGGCTAGGATTTCTGGGAGTCATAGTCCATGAACATCTGGGGACCCAAGGCTGGGAACCGCTGGGATCTAGAAGAATTCTCTTCCTCACGCTCTGATGTCTGCTTTGTGGTATCTGCAGTGTCATACTGTGGGTCATCTTGGGTGGTGTGGGGGCAGTAGTGATGTCATCCAATTGGCTTCAAGTATCTTAAACTTGGCACCGGCCGTGCTGTGTTGGTGGAGAAAGAAAATGCCGGAGAGCCCTGGGAGGAGAAGGCATCATGAAGCTAAAAATACAAACGCAGACAGACTATATAAATAGATGGTTCCTGGGTATGTAAACATAAATAGATCCACCACAATGGCAGTGATAATTAGAGTGCCAGGAATGGCGTGGTGGAAAAAAACGGAGAGCAGCAGCAATTGAGTTAGTACTACTAGCAATGGTCTTTGCTTTGCAGGATGGCGCGTGGATGTTATTCGGCACCGTAGAGTTGGCCCTGGAACATCTAAACCAACGTTCTGAGGGATCAGAGCTTGCCATTATAGACACACAGCTGGCTGGGGGATTCTGGGAATTGTAGTCCAATAATGATGATGATGATGATGATGATGATGATGATGATGATGATGATGATGCTACTACTACTACTACTACTAATAATAATAATAATAATGATGATGATGATGATGATGCTACTACTACTACTACTACTAATAATAATAATAATAATGATGATGATGATGATGATGCTACTACTACTACTACTACTAATAATAATAATAATAATGATGATGATGATGATGATGCTACTACTACTACTACTACTAATAATAATAATAATAATGATGATGATGATGATGATGCTACTACTACTACTACTACTAATACTAATACTACTACTACTACTAATACTAATAATACTAATACTAATACTAATACTAATACTAATACTAATACTAATACTAATACTAATACTAATAATAATAATAATAATAATAATAATAATAATAATAATAATAATAATAATAATAATAATAAGGGATGATCCTTCTAAACTCTTGTGGACTGCCTGTCCACAAGGTTGTCTGGACTAGGTTTAGGTCAGAGTCTGTAATTGTGAGTTACAAATTGCAAGTAAGAAGGCACCAATGAAGCCACATTTCAAAAGCCATGCAAGGAGTTACACATGACTGGTGTAACGATTATCTTTCATTTTTGTAAGCTGCCTTGAGTCCTTTTCAAGGCAAAAGAAGGGGTAAACATTTCAATGTTTTCCAGTAAAAATTAAAAGTCACCTTTAGAAACCTTTTTTTAGAATAATTTTGACAGTTTTTTCCTGCTGTTCTCTGATCAGTTCTGTTCTTTTAAAAAGAAACAAACTTTGCAACAATAGATGCAACAGGCTTTCCAAATACACTGGTCAGTAACAGGAATGAATTTCTTTCAAAAGCAACTGCATCGGCCCATTCCTTTAATTTTGATTCCACCTTCCTCCCAATGAAGAGACTCAAGGCAGATAACAAAATATTTCAAAAAGTATTTGAGATACAGTGAAAACAGAGTCAATCACAAGATCGAAAAGCGGTTAAACATATTGGATATTAAAACAAGAGGATGAAAATATTTCAAATGCAGTGGTGCCTCACTTAATGACGATAATCCGTTCCAGGAAAACCGCCGTTAAGCGAAACCATCGTAAAGAGAAAATTAAAACCCCATTGAAACGCATTGAAACCCATTCAATGCATTCCAATGGGGTAAAAACTCACCGTCTAGCGAAGATCCTCCATAGGGCGGCCATTTTCGCTGCCTGTATAGTGAGGAATCCGTCCCTAGAAAACAGCGGGGGGCCATTTTGAAGCCGGCGATCAGCTGTTTAAAAAACATTGTTTTGCAAATAATCGGTTCCCGAAGCAGGGAACCGATCGTTGCAAAGCGAAATCCCCCCCATTTAGACCATCGTTTGCTATCGCAAAAAGATTGTCGTAAAGCGGATTTGTCGTAATGCGGGGCAATCGTTAAATGAGGTGCCACTGTAATTTGAAAACACCTTTAAAAAGTAAGCATTCGCCATGAAAAGGCCCTTCCATGACAGCCAGTCTGTTGTTAAACACCTACCTGAACCTAAAGGTCTTTCCCTGCCTCTGGAAGGACATTAAAGAGGGGTCCAGCCCAGCCTTTCTTGGAAGAGAGTTCTACCTCCGGGGAGGAGCCATCAGAAAGGCCCTGTTCTTGCATCTTCATGAAACAGGCCTGGGATGATAGTGGAGATGAAAGAAGGCTCTTCCTGAATTTATTAAAACCCAAGGAGAACCTCTGGGGATTTTAAAAATTTAAATCACAATTAAATCCATAACTTAAATTCATTGGATTTATATCAAATCCACCCTGTTACTGCTGCTGGCTGGATAGCTTGGTGAGACGGTATCTGGCTGTGGAGCCAGAAGTTGGATGCTTGATTTCCCACTGTGTGTTCTAAGAGAAGAGCCAGCCTGGGTGGCCTTGGGCCAGCTGCACAGGCCCAGGGCTCCCCCTAGAGGAAGGGAACGGTAAACCACTTCTGAATATTCTCTAACTAGAAAACCCTGAAATGGGTCACCACAGATCAGAAATAGACGATGGCACGCAAATACTATTTTTCTACTTGGAAAACCTTGAAAAAGGACCACCGTAAGTCAGAACTGACATGACAGCAGGTTTATTCTTATCTTATTACTGATTGCTGTCTTTTCCTTGAGCCTGCAGAGAAGGGTTGGAACAGTAAGTAATGTGCTGAATCAGGTCATCTTCAACCTGGTTGCAAGCAAAGCTGGATTTCCATTCTCTCAAAGGGATTCCTAGAAGAAATCTCTCTTTTTCTTCTGTTCCACCAAAATAATGGCGTTAACATTACGGTCAGTTGGCGGGCGGTGAATGTCCAAGTGTAGGCAGGGATGCTGTCTGTGAGCAGCTGATGATGACCTAGAGTTGGGGGGGTGTCTCTTGTGGTTTAGCTGTTTGGAAGCAGAAGAGGATGGAAAAGGAATCCCGGCTCAGGAAACCGTTGCAGCTGTGTTGTTCTTCCTCCCATTCTTTGCCAAAGGCAGGATATTGTGGCTACAAAAGAATTAGCCAGATGGGAAGGGGTGGGTGGGTGTTCTGCCCTCTGCTTGCTCCAGAACCTGGCGCATCCCTGTGTTTCAAGAGCATCCTGTGGACATCGTTTTTTCGGCAAAAGGAAGTCTGGCCACACCAACCACTGGCAGGCTGTTGAGTATGATGGGGGTAGAGGCGATCAGGCGTATAGATGATGTACGCAGAGCTTGGGCGCTATATGATTTTGGACCACAACTTCCAGACAACTTTTTTCGCCAGCCTGGCTGCTGGGATTCAGTGGGGGTCTCCTCTAATTGAGTCTAGCCGTTGGATTTATCTTGACTTGTTGAGGAGTATTTTCTCCCTGACCTCTTGCATCCTGAAGATCTGGACTATAAAAAAATAATATGTCAAGTGTAACTGACAAGAGTTTTTGCACAGCAGTTTCAAGAGTTAGGATTTTAAAAAAACCACACACAGAGTAAAAAAATGTATTCTCCATTGTGTTTGTGTTGGCAGTTGGAAGTAAATAAAGTGATCACTTGGTCTTTGTTGAAAACATTGAAGAACTTTTACCATTAAAAATGCATGTAGAATAGAATAAAGGCACAGTGCTTTTAACAGTTGGTTCTTGTTCCATAAAGTTGTAATTTTGACTTAGTTATGTTTGTGTATCATTCTTAAAACTTGACAGACAAGGTTGCCTTAATAAACAACGGTCACATCCTAACACTATTACCGTATTTTTCGCACCATAAGACACACTTTTTTCCCACAAAACGGGGGTGGAAAGTCTGTGTGTCTTATGGAGCGAAGAAAACAGATTATATTTTCCTGTTTTCTTCTCCTAAAAAATTGGTGCGTCTTATGGAAAGGTGCGTCTTATGGAGCACATATTTGACCCTATCTCGCCCTCTTAAACCCTACCAGCCCTGACTGAGAGATGGTTCCCTGGCCCTTGCTTTATATCTCTAGCTGGCTGACGCCAGACAGATTCTGATGGATCAAAATGCTTCACTGTGCAAGTTATCACATTCTAGTCCTTCCCATGCAAACACCTATACACATCCATATATACATACATACACATACAGCATGGTACAATTGCACATTGCAACAGCCTGGGCTCACCAACCATTGGCAGGTGGTTGAGCGTGATGGAAAATGTGGGGGTAGAGGCGATCAGGAGTACGTCATGTATGCAGAGCTTGGAAATGGCATGATTTTGGACTACAACTCCCAGGATTTCTCAGTCAGCATGGCTGCTGGGGAATGGATTCAGTGGGTCTCCTCTAATTTAATCTAGCTATTGGATTCATCCTGACTCCTTGATTTCATTTGGGTTAGGGTGGGTGTGGATGTGAGTGGGCATTTTCTCTCTGAACCCATGCATCCTGCAGGCTGAAAAAAGGTTCTCTGTTCCCTCCCTACCTCTTGCTTTGTGTTAAGTACCAGGGTGATTTAAAAAAGGGGACAGATCCATGCTAAAGCTGAATCTGCTTCCTGTGGTTTGTGTTCAGATCACTGCCACTTTTCCTTTTCTTTCTAGGAAGAGTCACGATTGCTTTCTCTGGGCTTCTATCCCAGCTCCTGCCTCCTTTCTCCGCCAGTCTCTCAGGGCGTGGGTAGGAAGATGTGCCTCCAGTTATGGATCTTGGGTCTGCTGATGTTGACTCTGGCTGGTGAGTAATAGGAAAGCTTCTGAACCTTCATTCTGTCTGCTTTTGCCCTGGATTATGAGATTCTGCTTAATCATAGACGTTTTCCCTAATGGAACTAGAAGGCTAGAAGAGAGGAGGAAGAGTCTGCAAACTCTTCCCATCCTATATAGCAGTGGTCCCCAACCTTGGGCCTCCAGATGTTCTTAGACTACAACTCCCAGAAGACTTCACCACCACCTCTGCTGGCCAGGATTTCTGGGAGTTGAAGTCCAAGA